CAGTGCTGAGTGTCACGCAGTTTAATGGTATTTATATTGGCTCTTACTAAATCGCTCGCCCAAAAATTTCACGTGACTTTGGTTTTTTTGGTTTTGCAGCCGTACAAAACGGTTTTACATAAACCCTAATCCCAACCCTAACCCTAACCATAACCCCGAAGCTATCCATAATCTTAACCACAACCCTAACCCTAACCCGAACCCTAAATAATCGAATTCACGTTTTACTAGCCTGTCACGTGACCAAAACGGTTTTTTGCCCATAACTCTCCAGAGAAGCATTTTAACCCTACGTCATGTGGGGTGATTCGGAATCAGTGTCCAAAAATACACCGATCTAGATCACTTTCATGCCTAAAGGGCCTTTTCACAAGAATTTTCTTAAAGTTTGGGCGAGCGATTTAGTAGGAGCGATTTAGTACTGAAGATAAGTTTAAACTTAAAGTTGCATATAACATATAAATATGGCTATTGGGCTCATTTTGACCGCGCGAAACCCTGGATAAGGTCAAGGGTGCAGGGTGTGGCCTAAAACTCCCTCATTGCATTTAATTTTAGCACTAACGATTGGGCTCCTGGATGTCTTCCTGACGCGACGGTAGTTACGAGTTTTTCAAGTGTGGTCCTTCCGCGCCGGGAGGAAATTTGCTCTAACTTTTCCCCCCATCAGATCTAGATTGAAAACTTTTTGGGGTGGTTCTACTAGTACTATGAACAACACATTCCTGCAGAACACAGCTTGTCGCAAATTTTTCCCCAGACATTGTGCACTCCCCCCTGTGCTTAATTCCCTTACTAGTAGGTAAAGAACTTAACTACTGGACCTATAAAATATGTTTCATTATAATATTCGGAATCTAAGATCCGTACCTTAGCTTTCAGAGCAACCATTATAAAATCTAAGAGTAAGAGCTTCAGACATTTTGCCACTGTATCTACGTTAAGAACCACCCTAGAAAGGGATAACCACTTAAGTCATTTCTTTGTCGTAGGTCATATGTTAGATATAGTGGCGACCTGGTCCCCACTAGCTATTGTAGGTGAGGTAAGAGTGGTTCCAATAAGAAGAAGTCACGTGATCAGACATTGGTTCAGATCGTCTGATTGGATGATTTGTGGGACTACTATCTTACTATTGTAGTTCTCTACACTGTAGTTCTCTCGACCGATATTCATTTACAAGGAACTGCTGGTGGATTGGTCGGAGATTTCAGTATTTCACAACGATGTGACGATAGTGACAAAGCCACAATGAGTTAATACAGCTATATTGTGTACTGCTTGCAGTTGTGTGATCGCCGCACTGATTGCACCTTGCTTGTCTCAGCCACTATTAGTCTCATTTCCCTTCGAAATAGGTTTCTATGTTGAACCTAAGTCCTAACCCTCTTTATTAATATCAACTTTATTGTAACTTTTTATACACAATTTCAAAGAAACCATTTTATTTCGAATTGTGATCTGCTAAATCTAAAGAGTATTATCAATTAGTGAGATCTAGAGATCTAGAGATCTACAGAGAGAGAGAGAGAGAGAGAGAGAGAGAGAGAGAGAGAGAGAGAGAGAGAGAGAGAGAGAGAGAGAGAGAGAGAGAAAGAGAGAGAGAGAGAGAGAGAGAGAGAGAGAGAGAGAGAGAGAGAAAGAAAGAAAGAAAGAAAGAGAGAGAGAGAGAGAGAGAGAGAGAGAGAGAGAGAGAGAGAGAGAGAGAGAGAGAGAGAGAGAGAGAGAGAGAGAGAGAGAGAGTGAGATCTAAGCTCACTCTTCTCGTTCTCTCGGAGGGAACCGGAAGCTAATGGGCTTGTTTACGATCCACTTTTGGGATTTCTTGAATTTAATTGTTTTAATTTGGATTCTGATATATTTTGGCATAATGCCGAAAAGCCAAAAACCAAATCTCGACAAACTAACGACAAGTGCACAAACACTTACCAAATCTCAATTAGAGGGTCCAACAAGATCTCATTTTTTTTTTATCTCAACTCTTATTTTACTTCGGACATTCCAACAGCCACATTGTTACACAAGTGTGTAACCAGCCAATTACAGGAAGCCGAAGGATTCAATTATACATTAGGCCAGTGACGGTTAAGGTAGTGTGTACCATACTGTCTTCGCCCGAGACTTTGCTGCAATGGGCAGCTCCTCATTTAACCCTCACACCCGATTTCTCGAGTATTTGGCTGAGTGGACCGGGGGGCTGCATAGACCACTCAGGGTCCTTAGCTGAGCGTCGACGACGCTCACCCCACGGCTAGTGACAGAGTCGGGAATCGAACCTGGTACCTCAAGCAATACCAGGCCCGGATTAACCAACTGAGCCACTAAGCCGTTGATGCCGAAAAGCCAAAAACCAAATCTCGACAAACTAACGACAAGTGCACAAACACTTACCAAATCTCAATTAGAGGGTCCAACAAGATCTCATTTCTGCGTAGCTACCTGCGATATTTACACTGAAGCCAGCCCAGAATAAGCACCTGGTACTTCTTTAGAGTGTGAGCCAGTTCCCTCGAAATAACGTATCACCATGAGCTGTAAATACTATCATACTTAAATAATTCGATAAATTGATCAAATTTCTAAAATGAAAATTTGGGACTTTTTATCGTCGCAATTATTAGGTTACAGCAAAGTTAATGTAACTATGGTAACTATTTGATCAATATTGAATATTTGTAGCCTAAAACGTAAGTTGCCTGGTTGCCATATGCTGTATATTACTTTTCCCAAGTGAAGTTGTATTGTGAAAAAATAAAAACACAATTTTGGGTACTAAAATAAATAAATAAAATACTATATCAGTTACAAATATTAAGTCAGTTTGGGGGGGGGGGGGGGGGGGGGGGGGCCAATGGCATAAAATGGCATAAAATGGCATAAAATGGAGACTTTTTCTATGGGGGGAAGCCTCGAGTCCAAAATTGTGTACCCGAGGGGTAATTTTCTAAGTCAAAATTTTTCAAAGTTTTTCTGAAAAACACTTTTCTCCACGTTTCATGCTACCTTGTTCATTATAAGCCGAAATTTTTCAAATTTCTGAACATTTTTCAAATTTCTGAAAACCGCTTTTCTCCACGTTTCATGCTACCCTGTTCATTATTTGCTGAAAATATTTTTTCGGTTTTTCGAAGTCCACACCTTCCCCTCGATACACAATTTTGGACTCGAGGTAATGCGATCTCGGAAGGCAGGCCTCCCCTTTGCAACACGAGCTCGGAATCGGGAGCTCTCGATACGGGAGGTACGTATCGAAAATGACTCGGGCCAAAAATTTTCTAAGTCAAAATTTTTCAAAGTTTTTTCTAAAAACCACTTTTCTCCATGTTTCATGGAATGTTCAAAAAAAAATGTTCAAAAATGTTACCCTGTTCATTATCGGCCGAAAATATTTTTTAAAAAATAATTTTTCTCGAAATTCTAAATTTTTCAGGTTTTCGATGGCATAAAATGGCATAAAATGGCATAAAATGGAGACTATTTCTATGGAGAAAATGGAAAAACCTATGAGTAATTCTCCATTTTCTCCATTTATGCCATTGGCCCCCCCCCGTCAGTTTATAAATATATGTAATATTGTTAAAAACGATAAAATAGCACCGTACCAATACATGGTGATTGGCGAACATAAGGGGGCCGGGGGGGGGGGGAGTCTTCATCAAAATTCTCTTCAAATTGACTTTATAGTTGTTTCTGGTAGAAGTGAGTGATATCTACTAGCTGCTTTTGGTCCCATGGAAAAATATTGTTCGTAGCCGAAATTATCGCCGGTCTAAGGTCAGCGCTTATGTGTAATTGTATTACGCGAGCGATTTTCAATCGCAAATTCTGAAAATCAAGTCTAACAAGAATTGCGCCGGTTAGCGGACGCTAGATTTCCATCGACCGTACTCGTAGGCATTGCCTTTTAAAATTTAAAATTACAATTTACAAAAGCCATGTGAAGGAATGGTTGTTTACAAGTCTACATAAGTTGTTAGATTGAATAAAATGGTAGTCGTGAAATCCGTATTAGGTAATCATAATGTAACTCATAATAATATTTACGGTCCATTTCGTATAACAAATTAATCGCTCGACAATCATGTTCAACATAATATCCGCTCCTACTAAAACCGTTTTGTACAACCAAAAAAACCAAAGTCACGTGAAATTTTTGGGCGAGCGATTTAGTAAGAGCCCATAATATCAGCAACATAATTTGTTCAACAAAGGATGATCATTATGATTAATTACTCTGCACTCGACTGTCACGTAACTTTTTCAACTCGTTCTCTAGCTGGCCCTGAACGACTATTCGAAACCCTAACCTATTATCTGATATATTAATTCCAATTTTAGAACAATCTCGAAGATCGACTGTAAAGTGATTATCATTAAGCACGCTCGTTCAACAATATAACGGATTATTAATAATCTTCATTTAACTGATTGGGATCTGAGTTTTGACACATGTAATTTTGCAATGATCTTTCTAATTTCTAATTTCTAATAGCATTATCGGGAGCCAAGTCGGTTGTTGCACCAATAACTCACAACAAAACGTGAAATTAGTATGTTAATGTTATACTTGTACTTGTAGCGCATCAATGATCAACATTATTTATATTAAAATCCATTTAAAACAACAGAATAAATTATTGTAATTACATACGTACGCTGACCTATGACCGTAACTGTTATGAAAACTTTAGTCAGCTTGGCGCCGCGCATTTGAAAGTGTAATACAATCGTCGAATCGTGCAAACGTGTGCGGAGGGTAACCGTGGAGATGACACCATTACTGCTCCGCGCGCAGAGAAGATGCATTTAAATGGTTATGCGGAGGGTAATGCATGTTTTCCTTTGTGACACAATTCATGACTCACGTGACACGAAAAACATACCTACCCACTATACCCGTCCTCAATTCCTACCACTTCTAACCATCTATTGCCTTTTTAAGGCGATGGAAAAAATCTATCTTCTCCTACATTTTTTGAGCAATCACCCTGAAACTTTTCAGCCAAAATTTTGAGATAGGCCTTTAAAATTTTTTATTAAATTATGAAAATCTTGGACCTCGTTTTTTTCAGGTCCAAGATTTTTAAAATTAAATACAATTTTTTTAAAGGCTTATCTCAAAATTTTGGCTTGAAAGATCTCTTCTAAATGGTTCCTAGAACATATCCTGAAAGTTTCAGGGTGATTGCTCAAAAAAGTAGGAGAAGATAGATTTTTAGACTCGATTTTCAGAATTTGCGATTGAAAATCGCTCGCGCAATACAATTACACATAAGCGCTGACCTTAGACCGGCGATAATTTCGGCTACGAACAATATTTTTCCATGGGACCAAAAGCAGCTGGTAGTTATCACTCCCTTCTACCAGAAACAATTATAAAGTCAATTTGGAGAATTTTGATGAAGACCCCCCCCCCGGCCCCCTTAAAACTTTAAAATACTGAGCCAAAAAACTAGATAGCTACATAAAACTGTCATGAAAATGTGTGAAGCTAGTGTCGATAATTCATGTATCAATATCATGATATCAGATAACATTGTAATTCTTCATAACCGGAAATTGTCTTTTTAAGTGTCTTTAAGTGTTTTTAAAGTCCATATTTCTTCCCCGTTAATTTGCCGAGCTATAAATAGCAGGTCACGTGTATACTGAATTGATCTATCTGAAGCTGGTTAATAAATATTAATCAATGTCTCTCAATCTTCCTCCATGTCCTCAAATCGCCGGCTCTCTTCTGGTGTTAGTTCATGGATGATATTCCCATCCTCCATTTCTTGTTCGTTATCTCGGTTCACCAACAGCTGCAAATGATTTTTCGTATTTCAACAAATAAAATTATTAAGGTAATGTGACACAGCAGATATTTAATCTTTTATCTCCCTTTATCTCAATTATTAGCTGGGGTAATGAAACGACCAAAATCAAATATTAAAATTGTTCATAATAATCATAAAACAAATGAAAAACTACTAAGGATGCTTATTTTAAATGGCAGATGACTATTAAGTCGTATACAAGTCAGAAGAATATTACACCCCAACCACTAAAATAAACGCTCGTAAATTTAAAAAACTCACCTGTCCGTCAGAGTCGAATCTGATCTGGTTGCTAATAGCAAGTCCCCCAGGGGTGAACCCTTGATCGTCCCCACTATCCGACTCCTCGTCATCATCTGGGTGAAGCAACTGTCCGTCTGATATAGCCTGGTATATCCGCTGAACTGCAGAGTACAGGGAGACGTATTTAACTAGTAAAACAACGATTATAGCACACGAAATGCCCGGAGTTATGAAACGGTTCATGATACCAAATCGCTTAAATCAATACCGATCATCGGTATAAAGTTTAAATATATTGTTTAAACATTATCTTGCTCCTTTCTAAATAAAGTAAGCATGAATAATAATACTGTTATCTACAGAGAAGGCCTCCCATTTACCTTGGTTCTCATTATGAGGAGCTATTCTGATCTCTATGTTCCCCTCTTCCTCTTCCTCGTCATCGGAAGAGTTTGGACTTTGAGGTTCACCTACGTTCTCGTAAAGCATATACACGCACGGCATCGGGTATACGCTTACGTCTTTCGAAATCTGCAATTTTTGTCTTGTTAGCGAAATTATTGTAAAAGGTTCATTAAATCATATTTATGTGAAGAGATTTCATATTGGTTATTTGTTATACGTTGAATATCCCTTTCGGGCGGCTTCGCGCGCGCAAAGGGAAATGCAACTTGTATCAAATTGGTTATTGAAACTTTTAAAAAGAAGACATTTTAGTCCAGCTATAACTAAAATTAAAATGTATTACATTGGGATCGGGTGTGGCCATTTAAAATAGCATATTGGTAATCGTTTTAAAAGGTTGATTTAAACTGTCAAGCTAAGAAAGAAAAAAACTCTTAACCGTTTGAGCCATATATAGAAATCATTTATGGACACGATTGAACACATTAAACATTGTCATGTTCAGTTCATTTGGGGACACGCCCTTTAAACGGTATTGGGCAATGAATGACAGAATATTAAAAGATTGGAGGTATTTCGCGACCAGTCAGCAGCGTGTGTGGTTTAACAGACAATCTCTTTTGGGGGAGGGGGAGGCCGATCATATTGAAGTAGAGTAAAGTGTGTCCCGGGGTGAATCGCTAAAATATATTTAAAAATATTGAGATTTAATCAATTTATGGGCTAAAAGCTATCAAATTTAATGCGTTAAATGCCCAAATATGGGCATATGGTTTTTGGTTCATCTTGGCCATTTTTTTCCAACCGGGGATACACTTGATGGCCACCCTCCCCCCCACATTCTATCCATTAAAGCACGAATTTTTATGCAAAGGCAAACGCCCATATTTTGTTATCGAGCTTTCCGGATTTTAAAGTTGCGTTTAACTAGTTTCAGCTGTTAAAACCCATTGCAAATTGGTAATGTAAGACTGTTTACATGTCGGTTGTAGAACTTTTTCAAACTACTGGAATTTTGTAACCGATTCTAATGAATAATATTTATTTATATTCTTACTAAGCAACATCTGACGTATAGGTTAAGTAAAGAACTGGATATTAATCTAAAGTAATTAGTAACATTGGTCTAGAAATAAAATTAATGAAATGTCAGTCTGGATATAAAATGAATCCCATTATAAAATACAGAACATTTATCGAGATAACAACCTCTGCCCTTCTGGCCCATATTTGACAGAAATTGTACGTTCAACCTGTTTAAAGAGTCTGCTATAAATATAAATATAAATACTTACCGCGTGGGCTATGAGTTGTCTGTAGTTCAACTTGAAGCCGACTTCATCTCCATCTCGTATCCACACAATATTCCTGCAAAGTGCAACACATTATCTTTAATGGACGTTTTATCGTGTTTTTCATACTCGATAATGCGTATTTTCAAAGTTATTGCTCGGATCGGCTTGATTTCTCTATTAATACCCATTTCCTCATTTCGATCAAAGAGTTTAGCAGTTAAAACACAAAATATGATAACCAGAACCTCTTAGTGCCCCAGCAAGATATTGTAACTCATGTTCAACCGTTTTAATCCGGTTTGAAAAACTGGAATTCCCCAAATACGGTACTTTCTAGCAGCATTTATAAAGACCCCCTTAATTACAATAATGAAGTTCACTGCCATGAGCCTAAATAGGATAAAATCCGTTTCCCGAATCAAATATTCAAAACACAATCAAATTGAACAGTTAAACAGTTGTTAAAAAGTACCCACGTTTCAGCTACATAAAGCCTGCCACATCCAAGTTCAGTTCCTTTGTACTGAGCAGTGCACCCTGGTTCTGAGTGGATACTGCTCGTGGGCTGGTGTTGGGGGGTCAGTGCTCGTGCACTTGCTGGAGTTATTGGGACTGGCATGCTACTGGGGGGGTTAAAGTGAAACATTGTTTACTGTTGGGTAATATGAGTAGTTCTGATTCTGGCAGTATTAATATTTCATTGCCTTGACATATCGGACTGGTATGTTACTGTGGGGAATTTATGTTAAACATTATAGCCTTTAATCAGTTACTAATACCAGTTACAGGGAGCTGGGGTTATGTTTAATTAAACTGTAAATGTTTGTGGTCCTGATTAAGTTTAACTCTGGTAATATTGTGCAGCTTACTCCTCTGAACTGTCTGCTTTGTAACCATGGTAACAGTGAGCAGGAGCTTTGTACTTAATGACAGTGGATGTTTTGGCAGAATCCTCTCCAGTTTCTGTGAATTGTGAAAGTATGCAGACAAACGATCCACACTGCTCCGTAATGACACTTACACTTTAATGTACTGTTGCTAAGTGGGATATTTATTCAAAAGCCTGTACCACCCCTGCTTTGTCTCCCCTGCTGTGGACCGTGCTGCAGAAAGATCAGACTACTGGTCACTCCAACACAACTCTTATTCTTATAGATCTTACTTCGACACAGCTCTGGTAGATCTGCTTATTCTCCTAGATCTTACTCCAACACAGCTCTGGTAGATCTGGTAATTCTACTGGATCTTACTCCAACACAGCTTTGGTAGATCTGCTAATTCTACTGGATCTTACTCCAACACAGCTCTGAAATATCCGCTAGTTCTCCTATATCTTACTCCAACACAGCTCTGGTAGATCTGCTAATTCTCCTAGATCTCACTCCAACACAGCTCTGGTAGATCTGCTAATTCTACTGGATCTTACTCCAACACAGCTCTGAAATATCCGCTAGTTCTCCTATATCTTACTCCAACACAGCTCTGGTAGATCTGCTAATTCTCCTATATCTTACTCCAACACAGCTCTGGTACATCTGCTAGTTCTCCTATATCTTACTCCAACACAGCTCTGGTAGATCTGCTAAATCTACTGGATCTTACTCCAACACAGCTTTGGTAGATCTGCTAATTCTACTGGATCTTACTCCAACACAGCTCTGAAATATCCGCTAGTTCTCCTAGATCTTACTCCAACACAGCTCTGGTAGATCTGCTAATTCTCCTAGATCTCACTCCAACACAGCTCTGGTAGATCTGCTAATTCTCCTAGATCTTACTCCAACACAGCTCTGGTAGATCTGCTAATTCTACTGGATCTTACTCCAACACAGCTCTGAAATATCCGCTAGTTCTCCTATATCTTACTCCAACACAGCTCTGGTAGATCTGCTAATTCTACTGGATCTTACTCCAACACAGCTTTGGTAGATCTGCTAATTCTACTGGATCTTACTCCAACACAGCTCTGAAATATCCGCTAGTTCTCCTATATCTTACTCCAACACAGCTCTGGTAGATCTGCTAATTCTCCTAGATCTCACTCCAACACAGCTCTGGTAGATCTGCTAATTCTACTGGATCTTACTCCAACACAGCTCTGGTAGATCTGCTAATTCTCCTAGATCTTACTCCAACACAGCTCTGGTAGATCTGCTAATTCTCCTAGATCTTACTCCAACACAGCTCTGGTAGATCTGCTAATTCTCCTAGATCTTACTCCAACACAGCTCTGAAATATCCGCTAATTCTCCTAGATCTTACTCACACCTGGTTTACAACACACACGTTATCTTATAATAAGAGTGCTCGTTCAGACTCCGTTAATGTGCTAGTTCAGCTTTTATTTTGATATCTTTGAAATAGTTAATGTGCTGACCTAGTGATCTAATATCACTCGAGGTAGGATGATCTTACGAGGTGATGCCATGGTATAGGTAATGCAGGCGAGCACTATAGTGTCTGACACTGTAATACAGAGGTAGATGTAGTAGTGGTTGTGCCTAGCAGGTGCACTGTACATAATAACACAGCACAATGTACTGTATATCTCTCAATAATAATACCCACCTGAGTTATGACAAATATGCAGAAAATGGAGCTGGTTTCAGCCAGCTTGTAAATATCCAATTAACGGCAAACTAATTCACATGTGTTGCAGTGAATGCTTGCGGAGGTGGTTGCAGTGAATGCGGAGCTGCTGTCTTTAATAACCCTGGTGTAATATAATTGCATGCAGGCCGGCTATATGTTATACATTGCATTGAGTGCAGCATGATCAGCTCATGCTATCGAGTAGAGTACTATCACCTCCCTGACAAGAGTTACATCTTACGGAGGAAAATCTTTTCGTTAAATGAAATTGCTCGTTACATATTGCAAAGCTTTTAATTACCATCGTATTTCCGACCTAGCTTGATGTCAAGACAGATGAGGTTTGACACGTTGCACTTATCAGCTATCTTAATAAAAAGTCTTAGTTAAGGTCAATGAGGCATGAGCATCTAGATTTTGATCATTTATTATTCATCGAAAACTCATTCTGCTCATTTTTTCATTTTGTCGGCACAGCTTGCAATCCTGATAAGAAGTTCAAACGTCGTTAGGGTCAATGAGGCAGGGTACCCTTTAGATTTTGATCATTTATTATTCATAGATAACTCGTTCTGCTCATTTTTTCATTTTGTCGGCACAAGGACACAGCTAGTGATACCTTGTAATACGTGATCAGAGTCTACGGTCATCTCAGAGCCACGTCTAGTGCTCTGTTATTAGTTAAATGTCGGTCTAACATCAGCACTGTATTTTCTATTATGTCGAGGTTAGTTCGGGGGAGTTCATCTCAATACAGAAGCTAGTTCAATTAGTTGAGGTCATTAGGTGAGTATGCGGCGCATGTTGACCGATTAATAAATATACAGTCACATACTGATATTGCTCGTTTAATCTCAGTAGTAAAAATGCTGTGTTGTGCTTTAAAATAGTAGTTGAAATAGTAGTTTTAGAGCAACTTTCGGAAATGCCTGGAGAAGAGACGCCAACACGAGACTACTCTAATCTGATTGGAGGAAGAGACACCAACACGAGACTACTCTAATCTGATTGGAGGAAGAGACACCAACACGAGACTACTCTAATCTGATTGGAGGAAGAGACACCAACACTAGACTACTTAATCTGATTGGAGGAAGAGAGACACCAACACGAGACTACTCTAATCTGATTGGAGGAAGAGACACCAACACGAGAACACTTAATCTGATTGGAGGAAGAGACACCAACACGAGACTACTCTAATCTGATTGGAGGAAGAGACACCAACACGAGACTACTTAATCTGATTGAAGGAGGAGACGCCAACACGCGACTACTCTAATCTGATTGGAGGAAGAGACACCAACACGAGACTACTCTAATCCACACCGGTAACATAGTAATTGAGGGCTCATACTGACCGCTGCTGGTTTTAGTATAATTGCTACGCCAGGTTACTAATATCAGTAATGTTAACTATGTTGTACTAGTTAAATAGTCGGCCATTTGCACGCTTGAAAACATGTACTAGTGTCTAGTATAACATTACTAACTATTAACCTAACATATGTAGATAATTCTTTATATAAAACCCTTTTTACACGTGCAGATTTGCTGCCAGTTCTCTCCCTCTGATGAGCCTTCTTACACAATGCTGAGATGTGAGCTACTATAGGAAGGAGCCAGGTCAAGGTTCACTCATTGGAGTAGGCGAGGGAGCTCTTGCATACATGTAGACAGTAATTTGTAAGGGTGATTTGCATGAGCTGTGACCAGTTTTAACTACTCTTTTGTTCAGCTTTATAATCAGTCCAGTAGAATCTGCCACTAGTTTTACCAGAGATGGGTTCAAATCGTCGTGCGAATATTTTCCTTTGACGGTTATTGAATAGAGCGTATGTTGACGATTATTGGAAATATATAAGATGGTCGATTATAACATTTTAAGAAACGTTGTTAACTATCACACGTTATTAACGTTATTAACGTTATTAACTATCACACATAACACACACGGAAGCTTTTAAATATTGTTTTTGCTAAAGTGCTTATGATTTGAATTTGGTGTGATGATGAAAATTTGAAACGAGTGGATTTTTGAGGGGACATTTCTTAATTAGAAGAAAACAAGGCAATCTTAGATAAATTAATAAACAAAATAAATTAGAGGTAAAAATTTGGCTGACTCTTTTGTTTCCTAGAACTATAAGAGTTCGTTTACTGCATCACATAATAGGTCACTGTTCATACACTTGTTCGCACGGTCTCACCAGCCAGCATTTAGGCAGAGACTTCTTCAGGGACAGCGGCGGGGGCCTCTGGGACCACGGTGATCTCAGGGATATCAGCGAATTCAGGGACCGGGGGGAGCACAGGAGCAGGAGCGGCTACAGGGGCAGGAGCGGCTACAGGAGCAGCAGCAACAATAGGGGCGGCTGCAGTTACAATAGGGCCTGCTTCTGGAACCGCACCGAAAGAATAGAGATGTTCGTCTCGCTCAGTGTCTCTGATGTTGAGGAAGAGAGAGTCGGAGGAGAGATAAACCTTGTTCTGAGACTTGGACATGGTGGCGGCAATGTGTTTAGCAGCTGTTATCCTGGGGGATGTGGTCGTTACAGTCAAGTTACAGACTAGTTACAAACAAGTTACAAGCAAGTTACAGACAAGTTACAGACAAGTTACAGACAAGTTACAGATAAGTTACAGACAAGTTACAGACAAGTTACAGACAAGTTACAGACAAGTTACAGACAAGTTACATACAAGTTACAGACAAGTTACAGACAAGTTACAGACACTTTACAGACACTTTACAGACTAGTTACAGACAAGTTACAGACAAGTTACAGACAAGTTACAGACAAGTTACAGACAAGTTACAGACAAGTTACAGACTAGTTACAGACTAGTTACAGACTTGCAATTCCAGCTCATAACAAACATCACGATAAAAATGATAACAAGAAATGGAAATAAAGCTGATATATACCTCCTGAGCTTTAAGAATCCAGGGTTTCCCTCGATAGCCTCTCCCAACATGAAGGCAGCTCTGGTCTCTCCCTCAGCTTGGACGATCTTCTGTTGTCGCTCCTGAACCGCTCGCTCCACCAATATAGCTGCTCTCTGGGCCTCCTGTTGAGCTACAAGGAGAAGTTACAGTAAGATTGTGAGTCGTGTTTAATTCGTAGTAAAGATATGTTTCATACCCGTTTTTTTTACTTGTTTTGTTTTAGGACAAGGCCATGAAATACCAATACTCATCATTCAATTCCAGAATCAGAACAAGGGTAAGGTTATTGTGGCCCAACAATAAGAACTAAGAAGGACTATGAAGTATGAACCCACCGATCTGTTTAGACTCAATAGCAGCCGTGTACTGAGGAGAGAAAGATAGGTCTGTGATGGCCACATCCTCCAGGATGATATCAAAGTCTCGTGCTCGCTCAACCAGCTGTTCACGGACCATGTTACTCACCTGACAGAGAGTAAATACAGTCAGCTGGCAAGTGGCCAAGTCTAAATATTTAGAGCTAAATTGGTTTTCACGATTACAGTAATTTGCTTTGGGTTTGTGAAAAGGAATTTGAGCAAGTTAACTCTTTTTTAGAAGGTAGTAAACCCAGTTACAATGGTGTGACATTAGACATAGTAAACCCAGTTGGTGTGACATAGTAAACTCAGAGCACACTCCGAGATGGTGTTATTTAAAGATGATGAGAGGTATATTGACAGGTTATTTGTGACCTATGTGACCTATGTTTACCTACCATTTGACGCTGTGTGATCAACTGAGAGGCATTAAACTGAGCAACCACAGACTTCAATATCTCGTTTACGATTGATGGAAGAACCCTGAAATCGAATTAGTTTAATATTTGATAGGCCAAAATTAATTTAACATTGGGATTCATAGAATTTTCCTCAAAAATATGTTTAAAATGTATTGAAGAGTTCCAAGGGACTTGAGATCACTGAACATTGAGTGAACAAGTTCATAAACTAACAACATCTCAATTAAATATGACATACGGTATGTTACTACATACCTGTCATTGAAGTCTAGGCCCAGTCTTCGGGTAATGGTTGTGAGCTTAATAGGGTCGGGTCTGGACAACACCCTGAGGCTGATATGGACAGTCTGCAGATCTTTGGATCCCGTTGGAGAGGTTATCCTTCTTGGGGTAGCACGGATATCGAATACAATGGGTTTGTGGAGCCACGGCACTTTAAAATTTAAACCTGGAAGTGGTGGGATAAAATCAAGAAACAAGCTGTTGTTAATTTGATTTTGAAAACTTTGAGTTTATATAGGAAGGTTCTTACTTTGGCACTCAAAAATGATAAACCTTTAAAGTACAGCGCCATGCATAATTTGACTAAGACTATATTGACTAAGAACTAGACACTGGATCTGCATATGTGTAACCATGGTAACTGCATACCTTCCTTGTAGACCTTCTCCTGGAGACCGCCCATCCTGCTGAACAATATACTCCTGTGTCCTCCTTCCACCGTGTACAGACTGTTCTGTAATAATGCTCCTCCCACTGTTAGCAGCGCCACCGCACTCGCTCCTCCTACCATCTTTAAAGCAGCCATCCTTACTTAAATAAGCGGGTTAATTAGTATTGGATTAGAAAATTAATGAACAGTTCAATATTCATTCCTCCTATTTATTATTTAATTCTAGGTTATAGGATAATTTTATGGATCAATTTATCGTAATTCATTTATTTCCAGTATAGCCCAGGATTAATGCAACCTCATAACTTCATAAGAACCACTGTTTCTGTTTCTTGATCCATTGGTGACTCTTTCAAAATTCAGTGATTGCGTTAATTCTAGGCCATACTACTTTAAGAGATTATAATTGTGAGGGGATAGCTTTGATTTCTGTGCAGTTGATAATTAAGTTGCATGACTCTCGGTAGTAGTTATGACATGATCAGGGTAGCTTTTGTGAGAACATAATATATTATATTATGAATATCGTCTTGACGGCAGGATGAATGGCAGCCTGGCAGACTAATTTCATACATCCAGTCCGGCAGGTTTTCTTACACCATCGCTTTTAATGTTCATTTGCCCTGATATATAGCGTTCATACTTAAAAGGCATAATTTGACTGTCTTGGAAGGGAATTACTCTTAGGTCTCAGCCACAATTTCGTTAGAATTTTGCAGCGTCCAGTTTGAGATGTATATTAGTACAGTTTGACAAGAAATACTATATAAAGTATATATAATATCACCAAGCAGAAATTGAACAAAGCCTGAATCATCTACACGGCGCGTTGCTCACTCTCCCTCTCTCTCTCTCTCTCTCTCTCTCTCTCTCTCTCTCTCTCTCTCTCTCTCTCTCTCTCTCTCTCTCTCTCTCTCTCTCTCTCTCTCTCTCTGTAAATTTCTTGATACGACAACTGTCAGCTCTTATTTTATTTGAGAGCATTATAAATGCATTTTCTCTCGGTGCTACGTGTTTGAGAGAGAGAGAGCTACGTGTTTGATCTCCACTCTGTTATTGGCAGATATATTTACGCCACTAAATCCGATACCACTCGACGCATTACGCAATAGAGGTAAGCAGCAGCATGTGCGGACACCACGGTAAAGGTTTTACCCTGGGCGTTCGACATTTATTTGGATGTTATTAGAAAGCCATCAAGATTACTTTTGTACGTAGTATCGCTCATAATATATTTTATTGTATATTTCTGCATGTTTTTTAGCTAAGCTTTCGCATATTTTTAATCAAAATGCAGAATAAAATGGGCAAAAGGAGCATAACTATTAACGTTTCGAAATCGGCTTAGTATCACTACTTTAAGTTTAGCTACATAACTAATTTACCAATCGCTATTTGATATCTAATAAAATGGTGAGGTGTCACTTCTGCTGAACTTATAGTTAAATGACAGGTATGCTATGAATCGTCTAGCGAGTTCTAGTCGCCTATAATTATATATGGACTTGTCGACTACAGTCGAGAATATATGTGTCACAAGTCAAAACAGAGCTTTCGTTTTCTGTCACATATCATACCAATTAGAACACATCTAAGGTGTGTGACTTTGTTACCTTATCAGATTTATGTCCTTGATGCATTTTCATTTTTCAACTGCATAGTGCATATTATATGCAATATGCATTCGAAATATAAAAACTCATATTGACGGGACCGGAACCCAACGATACGATTTTCTTGAAACTTTCTACATAGTAAGATGGCTTTAAGACAAACAATTTGTGCAAGTTCGGGTGAATTTCTATGTGCCAAATTGGAGATATCCCTTCAAACACAAGAAAATAGTGCTGTCGGACAGATGTCGTGTTACCGAAGCACACTTGTCACTTTCTATCTAGATATTGCCTCATAGCTCCTGGAAGCGAATGTGGAAGAAATGCGAATAAGCTCCAGTAACCAATTATACCATCTAAAGCTATCCTGGTAAAGGCAGGCTAATAGCGTTGAATTAATTTCAAGGAGCAGTTTACTTAAAGGTCCCCCATTGGTCAGCACTAAATTCAGAGCTCTCAGTCGCGCTCAGCCTACTGAGCTACTCGCTGAAACCTACACAGCTTCTGTAATGTAGGTAGAGTCGCGCTCAACCTACTGAGCTACTCGCTCAACCTACTGAGCTACTCGCTCAACCTACTGAGCTACTCGCTCAACCTACTGAGCTACTCGCTCAACCTACTGAGCTTCTGTAAGGGGTCGTTCACATATTACGTAATCAGCCGAGGGGGGGGGGGGGGGGTTTAAATGCTTACGGTTGATTACGGGAGGGGGGGTTTGGTCGTTGAATATGTAATCAAAATTTTAATTTTTTATCGATTTTCGAAATACCAATTGGACAATTTTCGTTAATTATGTAATCAAAATTTTCGTTTTTTAAACAAATTTTCGTTTAGTAAGTGCTTTGCGATTATTTCATTCCTTAATCCGTTGTGGGGGGGGGGGGGGGGGGGGGTGAAAATTGCCAAAATATTCATTACGTAATATTTTATCTTTATTCTGCACAAAACTCATAATGTATTTATCTTTGTTCTGCACAAAACTCGTTAGCTATCGTTTTGCATTGATGGTTGTGCAATTTCCATTTATTGGATTGCAATATTGGGAATATCCCTACGATATTAATATCTGTGAAAATAAACCTTGGCAACACTTAACCGTGCAGTGCGTGATCGCTTGAAGAAATGCGTTGACCCTTTTTTAGCATGACGTTATTTTTATTTTGTTGTACAGGGTGTTTCAAGGCTCGTATCCAAATTTTGAATGGCCCTTAAAATCTAACAAATAGGTCAAACAGTTCGATTTTATTTTTTGTTTTAATTAAAGATAGATAAATTATTACATTTCAAAATTCATATAAAAAATAACCCAAATATTTGATAAACTTTTCGAGCCCTCTGCACTTGTACCTACTATTTCGCTTTTAAGATTGTGGTACAGTTGCTCCTTCATAATGTGGGGTCGAGACTCGAGAAGATCATGGTAATACAGGACCTTTACTTTTTGTTATTGAGAAAGATCAAACAGCAGCACTGATATATTATGTTGTTTAGACCTTCAGTGAATATCCCTGGAGGGGGATTATTTAAAACATATAAGTGATACAAAAAGTTTGTTTCTTCAGTGAATATGATCTGTTGATCTATGTTTAGATATGTACCATACTGATTCTAGGGATAATATCCGTTAGTAGAGACTAGGTAGGACAAGTGAAACTACTGTTTATGAGTAAACAGTAGTTTCACTTGTCCTACCTAGTCTCTACTACCAGATATTATCCAATCATTATTTTATCATGAGACTGATAAACAGCGAACCTTTCCAGGATCTCAAATTTTTAAGTTCTTATCTCTATAAATAGCTTTCGTGATTCTACAGTATATAATAGAATTTTTAAAGCGACACAATTTAGTGCCGAATAAACACACTACACGGTTCATTGCTCACCAAAGTGGACGTTATACTTTTTATCACGAGGTGTCGCTAGCTGACTACCCCATTCACATGCTAATACGTTACACCATGTAATGTTACTGCCACAATATGTACCTCTGTATTAGCTACCTTCAGCGGAGTGAAGTGTGTGTGTGTGTGTGTGTGTGTGTGTGTGTGTGTGTGTGTGTGTGTGTGTGTGTGTGTGTGTGTGTGTGTGTGTGTGTGTGTGTGTGTGTGTGTGTGTGTGTGTGTGTGTGTGTGTGTGTGTGTGTGTGTGTGTGTGTGTGTGTGTGTGTGTGTGTGTGTGTCTGTCTTAATCTGTTATTTCTGTAAAAGCCATCCATTTTCTAAAAATGGTTCGAAACCGATTACCACAAGCGTTGTTAGCTACCTTAAACGAGAGTCTTTCAGCATGGATGGGCACTAAGTAATAGCCCTGATATTAATTATTAGGTTTAATTGTATGTACTTACTCCTTACTTACTTGCTTACTCTTACTAACGATACCCCTATTAGGCGTGGTATTAATTGACGATCTGTACTTACCGACACTGGCTCTCTGTCCAGCTGTGACCAGCTGTGTAATTTAATACCTCTCTTATAGTTATAGCTACTATTCGCGCATTCCCTACATTCATTTATAGTGCAAAATGTGTTGTCGATTTTTAGTAAACTTGTATGGAAATTTTGACGGCTGGGTGGTGTAGTGGTAACACGATCGCCTCCCGAAGTCCCGAAGTCCCGAGCAGAAGACCCGGGTTCAAATCCGGTCGGATGCAAGTCGGCCAGTTACCAAGCTGTGATTTGGTACAGCTTAGACTGGTGAAACACACTCTCTGGCTCGTAGGACTAACCCCCCAACAGCTAGTATAGTGCCTCGGCACAGAGTGGCTTAGGGTCACTGAAAAGGAGATAAGCACCTCAGGCCATCCCAACATTTGGGAGAGACCTGCCCTCGTATCTTGTCTTGTTGTTGTATGGAAATTTGAGTGCGATACGCAAAGTGATGCTTTTTTTCAAATTGTGATTAAAATAAACTTATTTTTTTAAGTCGTCATGAAACTGTTGATCAGGAAATACAAATAATCGAGCTCACCTACACGTTCACTTGAATAAACAAACCCTTATTATTTTGAGTTTAATTTCCCAATGAAACAGTTCGGTTTTGGCTCTGCTAAGTGCAGTTCCCGCTCCCTAACTTCAAAGAAACATAACTTGAAAACAAGTGTCGTGTTACACCACTAATCAATATTTTATAACTTTAGCACTGCTAAAATTGGTGTTTTTACAGACACACCTTTTGGGCTAAGTCACTATCTCAGAGCATTGTCCGTTTCGTACTGGCTCCTAACCAGCAAACTATCCAGTTCTCTCTAGGCACCAAACTCAGTTCTCTTTAACTTAAAGATAACTGAGTTCGTGCCTATATAATTATAATTCGTCTAGCGAGGGGGATAACTGTAAAGTTTAAGCACGAAACTAGGTAACCTCGGATAGTTATCCCCTCGCTAGACGTGGTGCAGTGTGTAGGTCTACTAAATCTCTCTACTGGTAATCATATCTTGGGTTGTTCTAAGTATCTATTGCCAACTGCAGCATTATTATAATGCTATTCTCGACATATTTGTTGTATTATTCTTATTGGAGTATTTCCCAAAACAGTCGACT